CACTTCACATCAAACAAGCAATGCATTGGCCGCGTTGGTGTTGGTATCCTTGTGGAAGTAATCGCCTGCTTGTGTGTGTGTGCGGTTTTTTTTACACAGGGCGTGCCATAAGAACTGGACTCCTGTTGATGGAATTAAGATTGATCTATGACATCAGCGGTTATATACATCATTTGGGTGTGCTAAGGGTCGGGGTGAGGTAATGTGAAGTATCTTGAAGGGCGACACGGTCCTTAATTGGCGATCAGTTTTACAATGTTTTACTTGATTGATCTTGATTGTCTACTGTATATAGCCCTGAATCGTGCCTGAGCCTGCGGCAATGGAGCAGGATGCTGTGACAGCCAAAGCATAAGACTTCAGCAGCGCATCCCACTCAACCTGCGAACTGGCTCTATAATACTAACATGACAGTGCCGATTTGAACCCTACTACAGTGTCAATGCAAAACAGCAAGACTGAGTAAGTGCCACTCCACTAACCAAGTTTCTTCCTGGGTTTGAAGATGTTTGACTGTTAGCATCCAGCACTCCCCCAAAAAAGGAAACATTAACGAGTGCTCCGGCCATAACACAAACACCTATAGCAACCCTGGCGTAGATGCACATCAAAAGCAAATGCTATCAGTCAGGCAGGCAGCTGTAGCACCAGAACGGTTCACATAATTGTTCACCATGTTGTAGGTCTGATTTAACCTGGCGCCAGAACACTTCCACCCCATCAAAAGCATTAAAATGCCCCAAGCATACCAAAACCAAAATCGACTTCGTTGTGAGCAAAATTCCAAGAACGATCCACAAGTTCAGGGCTCTTGAATGAAATCTCACATTCCACAATACCATCACTGTTTGTCACGTGCAGGTTCACTCTGAGGAGTGCACCATTGCGCAGCAAGGACCTGTGGAGTGCCGTTGGCCATGAGCATGAAGGCACACAAGGGCACGTTCATCGGCACAAAGGCAGACCTCGTTCTTTGGGTCGGTCAGACTGCCGGGTGAAAGCCCGTTGGTCTCGGCGCTTGCTCTGAAGGGGAAACATCAAGCGATGTGGTGTTCACCATCCTCAATCACCAGAACAGTTCCTCTTCGAGAATCCATCCGCACTTTGCCACATCCAATTCACTCCATCCCGCTCACCTGGCTGCCAGTTGCAAATGGGCCAAGACACATTCGCCCAACTTTCAGGAGTTCGTCGCCCGTCACAGGATGAATGCTGACCTCACTGGGAGTGCTGGTTAGTGGCTCGCTTGAAGAGTGTGAAGAGGTGTGATGTGCTTCCTCTAACATGACTCCGCAAGCCTGTGTTCTTTCTTTTCTGCTTCTACGCCTTTCACCCAGAAGGTGAATCCGATGAGTCTCATCGTGCAGGCAGGAAGCTTCAACATTTTTTCGGTGCTCCCACATCTCAGCATCTGACACGCCTGTGTAGGCGCACACTGGGCATTTCCAAAGCTCCACCCATGGTTGAACCAGGAAGTCGACAAATGTCAATTGCACTGCCAATATTTATATATCGTATATATATATATATACATATTGATTGTATCTGATTGTATTGCAAGTGCTCAACAGTTCTGACAATTTATGAACAAGCTCAGCCGCTAGCCACTAGCCTTCAGTACACCATTGGGATTTTGTGGCTACAAAATCGTTGCCTGGAAGGGACAGCATGTTGCCGCAAGGCTTAATTACGAGCCTTCCGGCTTCTTGCCGGACTTTTTGTACTGCTCAAGCATGGCCTTGGTATGGCAAGTCATTGAACACATCTTCTGGGTGGGCGGGTAAGCAAGCACTGAACTCTGGCGCCGGGAGGGGCGCACATGCGGCCACAATAAAACCCAAAAACGCAAAAAATCCAAAATATGCAATTCCTGACAGTTCTCCACCGCAAATGTGGCCGTGGGAGCCTTCCACAAATTCTAAGATGGGCGGCTTGCAGTTGAACCAAGTCTCCTGTGATTTCTTCAGGTCTTCACTGCTCAGCAGCAACGTTCGAGGATCTATGTAGTCATACATCCCCATCCTCAGTGAGAGCACCCGCCTGGGTGATGTCTGCCTTATCACTGAGATTAGGTCGGTGCATGGGGGAGTGGGCTGATCGGAAGCCTTGTTCCAGCCAGCCAGGCTCAAAATGAACTTGCTTGAAACAATGTTTTATTGGTACTGTACTGATCTCTGACAAATGGTAAACTTCCTTTGATTCACACACATCACCTTTTGGTGTAGGTGACTTGAATCACGAAGCCAAGCTGGGCACTCATCTGCGCGAGGATCTACTTCTGGCGCCCCGAGTCTACACAACAAGACGGGGATCCAGGTGGTCCAGTAGAAGTTCATCTCATCATAGCTATGCAAGAAGGGGAGTTCAGGTGGTTCTGTAAAGAGCGGTTCTGTCTGAGCTCGGCAGATAGCGGAGCATGCGCTCAAACACATCGGGCAAGCGCCACGTGGTTCCGCAGAGCATGCGCTCGTTGTAGCCCCCTACATCCTATATTATAGAGGATGCACATAAGGTCAAGGGTAGTCAAGGCGGGCGGCAGGTCGTGGTGGCCCAAACAAGGGACGAGCCTTTCCCAAGGCCTCCCCTCAACTCCTATCAAATGGCTCAGCCAAGTGTCAGTCTGCCATAGAAGCTGGACCTCACCATGCCAGTGAAATCCAGTGAAGACATCAGGACGGTCCCATGGCCAAGAAGCTCCAAGCACAAAACATGTTTGAATAGTTAATCAATATTAATCAAGATTAATCAACTACAAGCATTAAACACAAATACATTTGCAAAACTCTACTTGACCTACATTAACATTAAGCCACATGACCTGCAAAAGGTCTTCTCTCGAGATTGCAGTCTGCCTGAAAGCACAACCCCAACCAATCAGACAGACATTCCATTTCAAAGGCCCCTAGATCTGCTGAGGAGTTTCATCTTTGTGAGGCCCCCCAAGATTTGGTTTGGCTCCATCCAAGGAACTGGTCGTACTTGGGCGCATCCATGGTGAATGGAGGTACGCCATCCTGGACTCTTCTTGGAAGGCAAAATGTGCAACCATCTCAGCCCCCCTCCAGCAATGGTTGACCTATGTTTTCTCACACGCTGCATCTTACAGATTCATGTGCCCTATAGGCTGACTTCACCTGGTCTCAGCAAAAGTCAACGCTAGGAAGTCTGCCGTTTTGCACGCTCCAGGCCCGATCTCCTAAGCACCTGGAAGCAAAGCAAAGAGGTGACCAAAACACGTGTTTCAACACCGAAAAAGGACACCTGTTACTCCAGTATGGAACCATTCCATACTCCAGTTACTTCATGCGTCTTCTCACCTTCCCGTCTTCCAGCCCCTTTTCCTGAGCAGCGCCATCTGCCAAACATGGGCCACTGTAAAAGGCCAAGCCAGCAGCACCAGCTGCCAAGGGTTTTCGCCAAGCCTGGTAAGCACTGCCAGCGATGGGTTTGGCCCAGGTGGATGTTCGAGGCTTGGGAGATGGAGCCATCCAAAGAACATGCGCATCAAGAATTGAAAGACTGGGCACTGGATGGTGAGGAAACACTTGATGTTTTACAGCAATACTTGGTCCTGTAGCCCCCGTCTTTCGGTGGTACATGTGTCTCACATGCAAAGAAACCAGGGGCGGCGCATGGCTGGGGTGATTCGGCTCTCATAGGTGCCCACGAATGGGGAACTAGCAGTTTAGTATCTTTTATACACATCCCACAAGGCGTTTAACCGGATAGAACCAATAGAATCTAACAGAAACCTTGGAAGACAGAAGCGAACCCGAGAAGAATCCTTGCTCCTACACACGAGAATCTTGAGGTTCCTTATTGGATTGTGTTGCGAGGCCTTGTGCAAAGGACCATCTACAGTACAAAAGCGGCCTGCGGAGAATACGCCGAGCAACGATGATCTTGCTACGTGTAGCCTGAGCGCTGAAACATCCTCAGCCAGGGCTCTAAAAAATGTCTTATACAAGAAAAGATCTGAAAGCACCTTGGGCTTGGGTGGAATCAAGCTGCCGGCAAATCCCCAATAATGGCAATGGGATCTAGCCACCCACTTGTCCTTCATCGGCGTATGTGCTTTTTCTGCTTGAAAGCAAAATCCATCACACCAAAAACAAGCGACCCCCCTTGAACCTCACAAAGGGGACAAAGAATGGTCCCAAACCGATCCAAAGCCTTTGAGTCTTTGAGATTCAACCTAGGGACTTCACATCTTTCCTTGTGACCACACATCTCATCAGCACACACCTCGTGTGATAGTTGTTTTTCACTGCACCCCCATTGCAGTTCATTAATTGAAACACTTTGCAGCACCCTCATCCAGGGCAAACCAGTCGTTCGGAGCAGCTCCCGAGTTCATAGATCGAACTTAGATCGAACATGGATGAAAAATGGTCGAAAGGCAAAGATGAAGATCGATCCATTTATCAACCTCCAGGAATCAGCACCTCGTAGGCAGTTTCCAGCCTCTCGACGTCTTGATTCCATCCCTCCTCTCGAGAAAACACATGGAGAAAAAACACATGAGAAACAAGATGCTTGTGGAGAAGGCGTTCGTTCGCATGTTCGCAGCTGCACGCAGTGCCATCCTGGGCCGTAGCAGGTCGGTCAGCGTAAACACGACTGACAACGTGTTTCAGCATAGGCAAACGATGGCAAACGTTATGCCTCGAGCATGGTGGCCAAGGCCCTACTAACATTGATGTTCACTGTCAGCTGCATCCAGGCTACATGGTGGGCAAGCGGCGCTCTATGGCGCTCAGCCAAAACTTTGAGTTTGGAAAACTGCGAAGCACACCGCCAACGGCCGATGCGAATGTCCCAGTTGCCAAGATCGCTGAGCAAGCACCGTTCCACCCAAATGCTTCCCGGCATGGCAGGTCAAAACGCTTGGACTTCTGCTTGCCCCCTCCCCAATGCCCAAGCCCCCAAGCAATATGAACCGCCACAGCATTCTGAGGGACTTGATCACCAAAAGCACAGGTCCTCCGTCACAGACCCGCCTAGCAGCCCGCCAAAGCCTGCAGCCTCCCAGGTCCACATGCCAGTCAACCCACACCGGTGACCCGCACAGCTGTGACTTTTGGGATCTCAACGATCCATGCCATGCTTGCCACACAGCTCAGCGTGGCTTATATGTGCTTGTGTATATATATATATATGTATGCGAAGCACACGGGCGCAAGTACCCCTCGGAAGGAACTGTTTCTGTCCTTGCTAAGTGGGGCGCTTGAGTCGAGACGAGATCACCGGGAACGAGTGAGTTCGTGACCCTGGAATGCAAATTCTGCACGGGTCCATACTATTAAAAAAGTTCTAGTGCCACTTTCAATCAAGAGGTCCTTTTCCATCTTGTTTTCTCTTTCGACCAGAAACCAGGGACTCATCGTAAACGATCCGCCACCTACCACTTCGTTCATTGAACATGTGAATCTGATGAGGTTCATTGTCTTTGGTGAGGCTATTCGACAACTGGCTTTCTCCGTTCACCCACCGCAGGTGAACCTGGTTAGCGTTCAGGGCCTCTTTCAAGCACAGGGTTTCAATGTCACTTCGTTTTTCCGCACCTCCCAAGGTCAAGATGGTGGAAGAAAGTCGATCGTACAGGTTACGACTGTCACTCACGAGGGCACCTGGGACCTTATTGACCGTTTCGTCAGGGGACCATTCATTTCCATGGTGGCCAAGGAATTCCGCCAGCTGGAAGCGAAGTGCATACATCTGGTCTTCCCCATCCACAGCAGCTCTTGTTTCTGCTGATGCGCTCGAACGACAGACCCTCGAAATTTTCGAGGAACACCAAAAGATGGGGTTGACTTGTGAGAGTTCTCCTTGAAGGATTCTGGAATCTGTACATCCAATCAACACTCCCTTGGTGCTGCTTAAATCAGGCCTGTTGCCATAGGCAGCGTCAACCCACGTTGTCAACATAAGATCATCTTTATTCAAGGTATGTATGATCATGCATTGCCCTTGTCTGGCCTTGGCCTTTTTAAGAAGCTTATTTGCTTCAAGAAGGTCGGTCACCTGGGCCTTGGGCACTTTAGAAAGGAGAAGGCCTGTAGGGGCACTAAGTTCCATTGCTAGTTGTCCTGCATGCCATGCTAAACATCCAAGAACACTTCTCATGTGTTTTTGTTCTTCGGGAGAGGCGGAAGCTTCAAGGTCTTTGCTTCTCTGTTTTGGTATGTAGATCTCTGACACTTGCTCCAGGAATTCTGGTTGTGAGATCTTGAAGGAGAAGTCTTCTCGTTGTTCAATGTTCACACCACACTGTACAAACTTCCCCTTCTCCCACTCTCCAAATTTGAACCGAGTAGTGATTGCTGATTTCACATGTTGCCAGCGCAAGTCGGTCTCATCACCTCCAAACAAGAAGTCGTCGACGTGTGAGCAGATCCATGCTATAGGGCTCTGACTTTGATCAAAGAGTCCCCAGCAGCAGGGGTCGGCTTTTTGTCGAATGAATCCTTGTTGTTCCAGAAATTCATCCACTGACAGGTAGAATTCCAGTGGGGCCTGAACCAGGCCGTATGCTGCTTTGGCAAGTCTTGTGATCGAACCTTCAGGTAGGTTCATCGCTTCAGCAATTTCCTTGAGTGGTTCAATGAAGAGTTGGTCTTGAAATTCACGACCCTGAAGGAAGGCGCCGGAGATATCTCCCTTTTCCACTCGGAAGTGGTGGGCCGCGCAGAGTGTCAAAAATAACTGCCTGGTACTTTTGTTCATCGTTGGGCTCGCCGTGGGGCGAGTCTCATACAGTGGGTCTTGATAACCCAGTATGACTGCACGTGCCTTTGCTTTCTTCTGGTCGGGATTCTCCTTGTCGCATTTCCATGTCAGTATCCAGCGCATTTTCAACACCTGGCTGGCATCTGGCTTCATGTGGTCAGGGATCTTCTTGAAGACCTCCGCAAGGATGTAGTTTTTCACTTCTTTTTGTTTTGCCTGTCTGAACTGTTCTAGTTCTGTTGGTGACAGTCTTCGTTCGGATACCTCCACATGGTTCTTGCGGCTTTGACTGATCACAAACGCTGCCAGGTCGCGAAGCCAATGTTTTTGTTTCCTGTTTGCCCTGTCTGGCATTTCGATAGCAATTTGAATGCTACCATGTTCATCTTCCAGGAATGTTGCTGGTGTTTCTGACGCTAGTGCGATCAAGCTTTCATCACCTTCTGTCATCTGCTGATCGAGAGCTTCACGTCGATGGTGTTTTGCTGGTGGTTGTTCCGGTTCTGGTCCTTTCCGACGATGTCTAAAGCGAGGAGGTGGTGGTGCCCCTGGTTGGTCAGGGATGATCTCTGGGTCGTCATCTTCCTCCCAGTCCAGTGGTGGTTCAATCTTGGTCAGGTCCTCAAAGGTCTTGTTTTTGCTCTGTTCCAAGATGCTGGTCACCGTCCATGGAAGAGGTTGGTCCTCTTTCAACTCAGCCCATGCTTCTTCACGTTCGCTTGCATGCCTTAAGAGCTGGGGGGTGGCCTTGAGCAACTTGGTTCCACGGAAAATCCAAATATTTTGACCTGGTGTTCGTTCTCCGGTTTCCGACAGTTTGGTCTCAGTAGCCAACACACGAGCGGGACCTATGAATCCACCTTTCTTGAACCCCTGACCTTTCACCTCATGACCGTGACCAGCGAGTTGTTTTCTCCAATAAAACACCAGGTCACCTGGTTTGAAGGTGTTTTGAACTCTACTTCCGGAAGCCTGTGCCCTGGAAAGCCTATGTTTATATTGTTCTTCAATGAAGGATTCCTCAGCAATCTTCATGGCTTTGTTATCTTCTCCAAACTCGGCGGTCACACCTCTTTCGGTGATCAGCGGAACCTCGTCACATCCCCTATCGTGAATACATCCATCTTCACATGGGTTCCTACCAAGAACATGTTGAAGGGGGGAGAATCCAAGGTATTGATCCCGAGAGTTCTGCGCCCAGAGCGACCGACAAAACACTTCACGACACGACATCTCCGGGCACTCCGAAGCGAGTTTCGACATCATGTTTTTGGTGGTTTGGATCGCTCGTTCAACATGAGGAATTTTCCAATGGGCTTTGGCAGGAATCTGTTCGTTGACAATCTTTTGATTCAACAAGTACTGGTCCAGGCGTTCACTTCTGAAAGGTCCAGCGGGGTCCATCCTAATGCAAGCGGGGTTTCCGAAAACCGGCTTCCAATACTCCTCCAAAAAGGTAACCAAGTCTTCACCTGACATGCTGATCTTCTTACCGGGTTTGAGGATCATCCCCTGTCGGAATCGGCTTCCCTCATCAATCCCCAAAAGGAAGTGGAAGTTCTCTTTGGTCTCAGGATGACTCCATGACCCTCCATCCACCTGAACGCGGGCCCATTTAGGTGGGATGTCTTCCAGGGAACCCTGAACTCTTGGTTTCGAAACGACATGTTCTTCGCAGGTCGAACAGCGGAAGTTTTTCGCAAGTTCAATGGTCTCATGGTCCGCGTTTCTCCTTTTGAGGGCCTTCACCAAGTAATCCCTACTGCAATGACCCGTGGCGGCGTGGATTCGACGAAGCGCGCGAAGGACCGACGATTTTCGATCCGGCGACATGGAAAAAGCTTCTTCGATCCCTTCCTGATGTTGGTTGGAATTGTCATGACTATGGCTCATGTTCATGTCTCCAAAAAGGTTCATTCCGTCTTTGAGTTCTTGGGTGACATGTTTGCAAAGATCATCACGCTTCATGACAGTCACCACCCTCTTACAAAAGGTGGGCGTATAGAAGGCAGTTTGTCGGCATCTCTTTTGTCCCTCACATTTTCCATGAACGTGATCTCCACTACACTTGAGGGTCATATGGTGTATGATTCCTTTCGCCGTACCCAACAACCTCCACCCTTTTCCCAGGAGCTCCCTTTGTTCATTTCGGAGGCCTACTTGACATCCTTTGCAGACCCCCGACACACACGGGACTCTGTTTTGCAAAGTGGAAAAGGAGGTTTCATTCCACCCCTCACATCTCTCCGAGAGTTCAATGATGAAGGGGATATTTTCTTTGTGGGCTTCCTCCGCAATTTCACAGCACCCTTTGTACTGTTGGCGCGCACGAGCACGTTTTTCCGCAAGGTCTTGTCGTTGTTTCTCAGTTTTCATATTGAGATGTTGCATGGGAGAAAAAGGTCCACACTCTGGTGACAACCACACAAGACCAGGTCGAGTCTCCTTCATAACACGAATGATGTGTTGAGTGCCGGCCTTTGTTTCCACATCTCCACCATTGTAGGCGGAGAGTCGTCGTGCGCTCCCGTCGCCAAACACTCTGTTACATGTGTTGGAGAGTTCACTTTCGGGGTCACAACACACCTCCAACAACCTCAACCGATCCCCATAGGCCACCTGACACCAGTCACTCTCAAAACCACGAGAAAGACCAAACAAAATGTCCTTTTTGTGGTGTTCCCCCAAATCATGAATCTCTCCCCCATATTCAGAGGTCAAATGCGCTCGAGATTGATCCTCTCTCACTCGCCGAACTCCGTCTCCTGTCCCTTCTTGCGGGTCTTGGCCAGTTCGTCGTCCTTCTTGGATGAGCTCTTGCTGACCATCGCCTTTTGACGTTGGAGTTCGTGGATCTGGGCTTCGAGCTGTTCCACCATCTCGTCCGCCTCCCGTTCGGATGAGGAGGTGTCCATGGGGATCTTGACGAATGTCCCGTCGGTGGAACTGGAAAATGAGGGCTCTTCGATGCGGTGAGGACGGAGGAAGGCTTTCGCCTTCGCTGTTCCTCCACTGCTCATGATGGGGTATCCCTTCTTCATGCCGGTTGTCTTCTCTGTCTCCTTCTGCTGGTCGATCCACTTGAGATAGCGGGTCATCTGCCAGCATGTGGTCTCCTCGAGGGATGTCTGGCGGCACCACCCAGTGTAGTCTGGGTGTTGTTCCTGGACTTCCTGGTAAGTCAGTGGAGCAAACTTGCCGAATCCCATCACGTCGGTTGCCAGCGGGGGCTTGTTCTCCATAATCGCCTGGTTTCCCAGAGAGAGGAGTCGACTGATGGTTTCGCTGCCCGTGATCGTAACTCCCAGTTTCTGAGTCAGGAACACCTGCAAATCGTGTTTCTTCTTGGCGGCTTTGTTCATTTCCTTCAGCAAGTCGTCGTGGACTTTGGCCTCGGGATTTTGGTCCTTGAGCTCCACTAGACGAGCTTCCAGCTGGTTCTTGCGCCATGAATCTGGGGGTGTCTCCCCGAACTCCTTGATCTTCTGGCGGAGGACTTCTTTGGTCATGCCGGGCATCTTGACACGAGGTGAGGGATGTACCACTAGGGTTCAGGCTTTGAGTGAGGTTCAAATCTGCGGTTGGCGTGAGTGTACACTGACGATACGAGCCGATCGAACCCTTGGACTGGAACGGTAGGGGAATGTGTTGTTCCATGGGTGGTTGATGAGGCCTCGGTTGTTTGACAGGTGGCTTCACGTTTCCGGTTTTGTCCTGAATGACATCAACAGCAAACACTGAGGATTGAAAGTGGCACTTACTTGATCTGACTACTTGTCCCTCCCAAGGCTTGTCAGCTGTTCCATTTTGCCTTGGAAGGAGTTGTCCCTATTCGGGATCACGTGACTCAAGCAAGCCATAGAAGGGCTTTTCCCTTCGACAGCTGTCCCTATACACATCGGAGGTCAATGGAAAAACCTGGTGGCCGCTTGGGGTTGTTTCCAACGACAGCACGCGGTGTGGGTCAACGCGTTTCAACAACATCTGGTTCTTCTCATAGTCAATCACAGCTCCAAGGCTTCGCAGTGAAGCGATGCTCAAGAGAATGGGCTGATTGGGGATGTCATGTACGTGCACCTTCATGGTGCTCATTCCTCCATGCAGCGGAACTGGCAGCTGGGCGGTGGACAGGCAAACTGTCCGGCCGTTGTTCCCAAATCGAAAGCTCGGGCGTTCCGAGGGTCAACTTGGATGTCACGACTCCTCCCTTGTCCCGCATTGATGTCGTTGATGTGGGTCAAAGCATCCACACTGCCCACTGTAGAAGTGGCCCCAGGATCGATGATAGCTTTGCCTGCCTCCAGAAGCGAACGCATCGCCAGGTTGGCAGACTCTTCAAAAACTCCTGATGTGTCTGATGGTGGTGTAGCCCTTGACTCAATTGTATCACCTGAAGCGGTCGCAGTAAAGGTGAAATGCACTGCTTGTTGACTGCCTTGTTGTTCTTCACGCTTGGGACAGGCATCTGTCCGGTGAGTTCCTCCACATCGGAAGCACTTCCGATCTGAGGTCATTCTTTCTGTTTTCCACTTGACAGTGCTCTCCCGCTTCATGGGGTAGAATTGTCGGCTCTTTCGCATCATGGATTGTTTCTCACGAGCGTCTCGGAGGGTCCTCCGGGCACCTTGTATTGCGGCCAGTGCTTCTTCTGATTCTTGTGTGAGGTAGTTGTACTCTTCAATCTCCTCTTCGGTCATCCATGTTGGCGCCGGCGGTGGTATACCTTCATGCAGGAAGGCGTCATCTTCTTCATAGTCTTCTGCAATGAGGGCTGATCCGCGGGTCTGATCCCGCTTTCTGAGGTCCTCCTCAGTCCAGTTCAGCTTGAGAGCTTCTTTCACTTTCTCGGTGGTGAAATGGTTCTTCAAGCTGGCGATGATGGTGGCACGTTCCGACCCGTCAAGGCCTGAGCGTTGCAGCAGCATCCACGCCACGACAAAATCTGGCAAGAACTTTTCAGCTTCAACCGATGCGTGATCTGAAACATCGGCTTGGTAGATGTTCTCGCTTGTCATGTAGTGTGCATTGCCTTTCTCCCATGACCTTTGGTCATTCCAGTAGTGATTGCTGTAGGGTTGATCCCACCAGCCATCATTGGACCACCACTGAGGTCGATGCCACTGTAGTTCTTCTTGTTGGGCTTCATCCGTGGTTTCACCTAGCTCGGCGTCATGCCGTGCTGGATTGGATTCTCGAGGACTGTGGAACCCTGGTTCCTCATCTTCTTGATGAGGGGCTGCTGCACTCTGATGTGATCTGGTCTGGCTCGCCGATGACCTAAAAGCTGACGGCCTTCGGGTTGAATATCCCTTTCCATATTCTTCGATGGCCTCTGCTAGTGTCCTTCGAGCCTCATAGAGAGCTTCATCATGCCTGACAATCCAGGCGTTCATACACTCTCCTTTTCGTCGTTTCACCTGGTAGAAGAATTTGGAGATCGTCTTGCCTGCTTCTGCCAAGGTCGGAGCTTGTACTCGTGTTCGTAGGAAAGCCAGCAATTCGTGAGCGCCCCACTCATGAGAAATCCACCCCGGTGATTTGTGCTGGACTGCGGTCTTGGCGGCTCCTTCCAAGACAGATTGAAGTCTTGGACCAGCAAGCGGTCTCTTCTTCCATTCCAGTGTCTCCACGTAGTTCAGTGCAGCTCTTTTGTATGGTATGTAGAGGTCGGACGACCCGTCAAAGATGGGAACCCCATCCTTGCTGTACCTAAGTTCAGCCATGCTTGTAGCCGGCGACTATGGATCTCTTCCAAAACGATGTCCCTGGATCTTCGCCCGGCTCCCTTCTTTCTAGAAGGAGCCGGGCTCCGCTACCATGCGAAGCACACGGGCGCAAGTACCCCTCGGAAGGAACTGTTTCTGTCCTTGCTAAGTGGGGCGCTTGAGTCGAGGCGAGATCACCGGGAACGAGTGAGTTCGTGACCCTGGAATGCAAATTCTGCATATGTATATGTGTGGATGCATGCAATATCATGCAATTACACTGGAAAATATAGCTTTAGTGTATAATCTAATATACTATACATATAAAAAATATCATAGTCATATAGTCAGTTGTATTATACTGATTTATGCTGTGCATTTATAGTTGTTTAGTAACCGCACAGTTGGGCGCAACATGGCGCAACTATCTCGGCAAATCGACCATTTCTTTCACTTAATCACTTAATCAGGGTGCGTGTCCTCTGCATCGGCGCGTGCGGCAGCCAGACCCTCAAAGGTGTGAGGCAAGGAGAAGTGAAGGCCATCCCTGGCTGGCAGCCGGAGGTCAATGTCAAGGCCCTGTGCACTGCTCTGTGCGTATCACAGTGATGGCCAAAGACTAGGAACCACCAAACAAGCACCAAAAGCATACCAAACTAGAGATTCGTCCCAAAGTTTCTGCGCCACTCCCCAACCGTCGCCCGCCCGCCCGCTGTGCATCGCACGCCTGAGCCCGCCCGGCTGCAAGATCGTCGCCAGCACCGGTTCGGCGAACATCTGCACCTCAAATCAAAGCTGTGAGGTTCTCCACCCTCGAGCTGCGGCATCTCGACGATGCAGCCAAGAGACATCATCAACATGTCGACCCAACCAGTCACCTGCCAAAGCTTGCCAAAGCCAAAGAATTCTTGGTAATTCTTGTTTCCTCTCTCCCTCTCCCATCTCCCTGTGACACATTGGGGTCGTTGGCCATTCCGCTATTCCCAACCACAGCCAACATGCAGAACACACAAGGGTCGAAGATGGTCGAAGAAGGCGCATGCAGTTCAACGTACCGGACGCACCCGGAGACAACCTCTTGTACCATCGGAAAACCGGTCCGAACACCGGTCGGAACGGGTCTTGCACCGTGGCCTTTCGCGTAGCTCCGAAGAATCACGTTGAGCTCCCCCAGCTGCTTCGGCCTCGGTGGTGCCGGGCAACGTCAAGGTCGGGGCGACGGTCGCGACCGACGTCGGGCAAGGTCGGTCGATGGTCGAGGGGCACTCCGAAGTGCTCGGTGGCAGCGCGGAGCGCCGCGTGGCACGCTGGGAACCTCAATGGCAAAGGTTGCGTTTAGATATTCACAGCTGGCTGGCTTGTCACTCTGAGGTCTGATGGTCTAGTTGAAGAAGTCCAGAAAGATCACGAAGATTCAAGAAGGAGATGATGGGTCTTCGGTCTTCAGATCAAAAAATCGGAATTCCATGGATATCCTTTGCAGTGGCTCGGAACTGGGCGTGCTGGGATGCTTTGGGTGCCGCTGGTTGGAGGAGGTATAGAACGGTATAGTTTTGCATCCTCAATGAGAGAGGTTGAAAGCCTGAGTCAAGATGCTCAGAGAGAGGCCGCACATCTTGAAAGCGTTGACGGCACCACACAGCCCAAACCTGCGAAGGTGAACATGTCTCGAGACTCAGCGTGAAAAGGCTGCCTCCTTGACACCTCCAATGTCAGGTCACAAGTTTAGTATGCTACTTGTGAACCTCCTCCTCAAATATCGAAATATGCAACAGCTGAGTGTGCATCACCATCGAAATTAAATGGGTGTTATTCTCAGCAAACCTCGACTGGTGTTGGTGCGGGTCAAGACCCCGGCCCACATATACCCACCAAATCCAACAAACATGGTTGTCTGCCCATGTTCACCCATCCAGTTCTTGAGATGGTCTTAGGTGTTCTCTGTTTGACTCACGTCTCGCCACAGTCGCGCCAGCCTTGCGTGCGCGGCTCGGCGAGTCTCTCTCGCGCAACTTCCGGAGGGCTCGCAAGGCGGCAAATCCTGCAAGTTCAGCACGTCGGGAGGTGTCCGGAGGGTCGAGGGCTATGGTTTTGTGGCTCCAAGAGAGTCTCGGGGGCCAAAGAAGGGAGCCCCTAAGCCCTGTAGGCGCGGGCAAGCGTCAGTGCAGGGCCACCATCGGAAAATCACAAGGTTGGCCCCTTGGAAGATGTTTCCCCTCTACATTCCAGTGCTGCTTGTCCATGTTGGCCCGCAGAAGAGTACGGGTATTCCAAGAGAAGGGCATAATGGATTGGATGATGATTGCTACTCGATGCTACTCGACAAGGCTTCTGGTGAACATAGACCTTTCGCTGTAGCAGTGGGGTCATCTGTTGTTCTACGATGGGGCAACCAGTGACCCCTTCCAAAAGAGGTGTTGCACATCAACCACGAGTCACCAACGCCCCGCAGACTCATCTCCCGCTCCAACGCCCAGCTCCAAGGTGGCCGCAGGCAAGCGAGCGGGCCCCACAGCGCGGCGGCGAAACTCGTGGAGGGCCAAGCGGACTGCCTGCCGCGCAAACGAGAAGCGGGCGCCCGGCGCAGGCGCAGGCGTTCGAAGCTGAAAATACCATTTGTTTCGGTGGTGAAACCGTAACCCGCCAGTGGATCGACAGTTCAGGGTGGTGGGAATTATTTTGATCACTGTGATTGTCCTGAGTTGAGAAATCTCCTTTGAAACCAATCCAACGTATAGGAGTTTATGAATCGAACCCCGATACTCTGACAATGCATCTGAAGGACTTCCGTGGTGGTAGGGGTGGATGTCAGAAACACGTTTGAGAAGGTGGACACTGTTGTTTCACCTCTCTCCGACTCAACAATAGCAAACCGCAACCCCCCAAAACATAATTACAAACATCTGTAACAACTAAGACTTAACCTGCCACATGAGTTGGCCGCTTCGTCGCTTTTCGTCGCGCTTTTCGTCGCGCTGTTCGTCGCTGCATCGTGTTTTTTCCTCACGTCTTTGCACGGAAGATGACCGCGCCCAGGCAGGTCAAAAGACCCGTCAGTGTCAGAGCAGAAGACCCCGGGGAGGTATCCTCGAGAGGAGGGGTGGAGTGAATCTCGAGCGTGGAAAAGGAATATGCAGCAGCAGTCAAAGAAATCAAACATGTTGATGTCGTCCTAATCTTTCATCTGGTCATATCTTGTCTTGTAAGTCTTGACGTGTCTCTACACCAACAAAGATCGAAAAGCACTTGTCTCAAGTAAAGCATCGTAGATGAAGCCCAATAGAGGGGGTCCCAAGAACAAGACCAGGTCCCCCGCTTGGCGGCTCAAGGACATGGCGGAGCCCACATGCTCTTTGGGCGCGATGTCCGCAGCATAAGCGCTCAGCAACGGAGCCAAAGCAGCTTCACCCACGCTCCAGGTCCTCATGCGCGAAGGGAGTTGATAATGGTCGATGTCTTGAGGTGCGAAGGGACACAGAACGGTTTAAGCTCTAAAAATCTATCTGTTTGATTCATTTGCCGTGTCTTATGCTGGATGCGGTTACCAGATCAACCTTCTGCAGTATCCAGACTTTTTTCCGTCCAATTCATGCCTTTGGGAATCTTTGGGCGAATGATGTCTCACCTCTTGCTTGAAGAAATTTGAAGAACACGGCACATTAATGCGTCACATTATCATTATTTGGCGCATGGGCAATCCTATCCAAGGAACACATACGACGCCACAAAGAGTTCCCAGACCTCAGCGCTGGCGACACCAAAGCAACCAAGGCCACAGAGCAAAGCTGCTGGGGCAATCAGGGGCACACGGCCATATTTATCCTTGGTCTCACCAATCGAGGGTAGAAAAGAACCAAAGGGTAGCAAGACATTGTGAAACAACGGCTTGGATCTACCTTGGAGCTGCCGGAGTAAATATTGGCTGAAGTTGAACAGAAGCCCGTCCTGCACATGGGCACGCAACAAACATGGCGCCCTTGGAAGACAACGTTCCTCTTACAAACAGATGTAACGGGAGGTTTGCCACTTCCATCTCGAGTCAAGTACATTCAATGTGTCCATCGAGTCAACGGAGCCAAGTGTCAGACAAAGTTCCCATGATAGGAGCTGCAAGGATGCCAACAGCAGCGCCCACGGAATAGAGAACTCCAATTTCTGCCACCCCAAGACCAAACAAGCGGCTGGTCTGTAGTGGCATCACAGTAATCATTGCCGCATAGTTCAAGAACAAAGCTAAGTTCGCTGAAAAAAGTCCTTGTTGCCGGGGATCTCGCAACAAGTCTTGCCAATCTCTAGCTGCTTGGGCTAAGAGAATCGTCGATTTGGCTGATCCAAGTGATCGGAGCGATGCAAAAAGTGACCCAACTCCGGGTGATGTCCTGCTGTGCATTGCTCTGTTCATGGTCTCGGGCAACGTAGCATAGGCTGCCCCACAGAGCCCGATGAGCACAGCGACTCCACAGTAGGCGGTCTGCGCGCCGTAGAAATGCGTCAAGGCACCACCAATGGCAGGGCCCACCACGTATGCAGCTGCAATAAGACCTCCTTGGGCACCCAAAATGGTGCCGCGCATCGGTTTCCTTGGATACGTTGCTTGGCCTTTTGCTGGGATGTTTTCAAGACAAAGCCCACTTCCTGTTCAATCTTGTCCATACTGTTTGACCAGGATGTACTGTCTCACTGTCCACCTGGCATCCCATCTTAATCCATCAAGTCACAAGTGGGGTCTTTCCGTGAGGTCGGTCAAATATGCCTGGGACCCCGCGGCTGCCAGGGCCGCGCCCGTGCCGCCCATAAAGCGAACTGGGAGCATGGAACTCAAGGACCAAGCAAGACCTCCCAGGAAGCGAGGTCTTGAACCGCTGAGAAGTGGATCTAGTATAGGTTGGGTCTATCCTATTACCTGCAACAGTGGATGATGATGGTTAGTAAAGGCCTTGCCCAAAAATAGTGATAATTGTTTACTGATTGTTACAGGTAATAGGACAGACCTCAAGTATAGGGTCTATGGATCTATGGGGATGTTAGTTCACTGGCAACTGGCTATGATTGCATGTTCAGGGCCTTTCGGTGCTTGAAGGACAGTTTGCTTAAAGGCTTGTCTTGACGACAGGCATAAACATGCTATCAACCCTCCGTAAACTATACAAAAGGATGTTCAGAAAACACCCTCAAAAGCAACCCCCGAAAAATCAACATGATCATAAACCATCATAAACCTACGCTTATCAAACCAAGAAAACATCAAGCTGCTAAAACCATGCCAATATACAATGAGGCCGACCCTCCCCACAAACAAAAGAAAAATACATGCTATCCTCAGGTCCTGACCTGTTCCCAAACATCCCAGCGCGGCAAAGATTTCGCCCATGACCATGCAGGGCACTCGGCCCAGGCTGTCCACCAAGGCGCCCGCAGGCAGATTGAAAAGACACCGAGCGAGGCTCGGAGCCGCCAAGAGTAGACCCACTCCTGGAAAACGCCCGAGTTTTTAACAAAATCAGCTCCGATTTGGGGAGGGGCAACAGTGCATGAAAAACCTTCCACACCGGGGCAAGCCAATGTAATGTGCAATTGCATACATCTGTAAACAATCCGTTGTCTTCTAGATTTATGTGTATATATATTTTTTTGCATTTGCACATACATATATTAAGTTATATATATATATTCTATATATGTATATAGACTTATATACACACACATACATATATAATAGAAAACCTATCAGAATCAACAGAGTCTGCTGGAGTCCCACTTCTGAACAAATATCTAAAATGTACTCAATGTACTCTAAAATGTATGTTGCCCAAGAAAATTACACTTGATCATTTTGCAATCCGAATCCACATGCAGCGTTTTGGGGGTTGCGCTCTTCATTGCTGGTTTGATCCCCGCGGCGCCGAGTGTTTGAATAATATGAGTTTTCAAGCTTCAGGTGTACTCAGCCATATCATAGGTTTCGTTTGGATATGATCGGCGGCAAACATCTGCAAGAACTCCCACCAAACAGACTATACAGTAATACTGTGGATAGTTTGGTTGAAATCATAATGTAATACAATTTGCATCGATTTGCATTAATGTACTTTGGTTTTTGGTAGTCCATGCCTCTAGCGGCTCTAGCGGCACAGATGATAGTGCATTCGACCAAAAACCCAACATGCATCATGTAACCATCCTTCTCTGCCCAAGAGCAAATGCACTCCTTTTACACTCATCTGCTCCTGTAGCACCGAAGCCCAGTTCCTGCGACAACTGAGGCAGCGCTGGGATAACGACACCCATCCCCACATTGAGCGCAGCCCCGGAGACAGATATCACCAGCAACTGGCGGCGCTCTTCTTTACGGCAAGCCTTCCAAGCAGCAAGGAAGCCTGATGACAGGATTGCCTTTGTGGTGGTGAACTGGCTTGTGGGATTCATCCTGGTGGCATAGGACCATAATGCATGTGTTGTTTTTTGTGGGAGGCTGATTTGACAGTACCAGTAGCCAGTGAAGGTTGCCTCTCTCAGCTGCTTGATGCAGTTTGGGCCTCCTTTCAAGCATCAAGATCCACGTGAAAAATACATGAAAACACACCGGTGCCGGAGCTCTCAGCTGCATTTCCGGTGCTCGCCTGGCTTCGACTTGGCGTCACCCGTCTGGGTGGACAGTACTGCCAAGCCACCGCGGTGGAGTGAACAGCGCGTTCTCGGCCACCGACGTCCCAGGCGAAGCATGGCGTGTGGGGTCCGACAGTCCGACCCTTTTGTAAGATGCTCTTTTCGGTCAATCTGTCGACGTGAGAGCAAAGCGTTCTGAGGTGGACCCGGATGTAACATGTCAGTATCAAAAATGGAACTCCAGTTGATGGCAGATTGGAGATCAGTCCGTTCAGAGAGGTTCCCCAACACATGCTGAGCTCATTGATGGTGCATTCTCCATGCAACGGTCTATCATGGTGCATCCAAAAGTCTAACAGCTCTTACAATGTGTGAATGATTTTGCATGGGGTTGCTAATACCATGGTTTATCCAAAAGTCGACCGGTCTAAAATAGTCTAAGCTCTTACGATTAATTTGTGCATGATTTTGCTAAGGCCTAGGGCTTTTTGATGATCCCTGTAATAGATTGGTCGACTGAGTCGCGACTGAGTCGCGGTCAACACTGTTGGTGGATGATTCAACACTGTTGGCCTCCAAGCAGCAGCAACAAAGGATGAATGGGACTATGGCAGCGTTCACAAGTGGGATGAAAGAATTAGCATGGAAGAGCCTATCTACAAAAAGACCAAGCAGGGTCCTCGGCCAGAAAGATAGGCTTCCAAACGCCAGTTTGGATTGGAAACACACTTGGAAATGGCTGGAGCGTAGTTAGCATGATGCAAGGTTCAGAACATTGTCTCCAGAGTGTCGACCTTTCAGCCGCCACTGAGCGTAACAATGCGTAACAATATCCCCTATCTCAACATCTCTTGTTGCTCATGCTGCACGGCAGATTTAAGATGTTCCAAATCCCAGAAGGGGGAGGTGATTCGAATGTTATGAATTGTTACTTATTGTTGCACCATTGACCCCGATAAAGAGCTCTCAAAAAGTGTGGAAGTCCTTGTTGCACCTGCAAATCCGCTTCGATCCGCATCACGATCCGCTCTTTTCCATGAGTCCCCACCTGGTGCGGCAGCTCTCCGATGCGAAGCCCTGGTATAGGTCCTGCATGGAATTTGGAACACCTCCCAAGCCGCTGGGTCACTGGAGGGTCTTCGCGAGTCGCGTGCTGGAGAGAATCACCTGGACGTACACGAAACCGTGGGGGAGATTGTTTGGAGACGGTCCTTCCCAAGTGCCCCATTCATCTCGACAGCTTTGGCTTTGGGGGTGCACCCCACACTGCTAGTGAACATGCTTCAACTCAGACTCATCCCCGACTAAGCATAAATCCAATCAAATCCATCTCATCTCAAATATCTCAAATGACCCCTCAACCTCCTACAGAACGCAAAAGGTTGCTCTCTAGCCATCAATTGTGTGTGCATGGGTTCTTGCCTCATGTGATGTGTCTGTCAATGAAGCCCCATACAGTACTTCTTCAACTTGGTCGCAACAGGACCCCGAGAATAACATCACACAAAAAAACGAACAGAATGTACTAAGTTACTCTATAATATGTGTGTGTGTTAGTGTTTCACACGCTAACAGCAAATACGTCAACATGGCGACCTGTCGCAAAGCGCCCGCCCTACGTCCACTGTCCCCTCGGCAAGAGCGTCACCCCCAGGTCCATGCGGCCGTTCCATGGTCCGGCCAGGGCGGCCGAAACCCGGTAAAGGACAAATTCTTAAAGGTAAAGGCTTGCACTCCACAAGAGTTGAGATAGATTGGTTTATGTTTTGTCCTCAAGCCCTTTGAATGTGTGCGTGTGTGTGTGCGTGTGTGTGTCCGCTTGTTCCTCCATTTCTCTTAGGTGCCAACATGTGCGGACGATACATTGCATGGCCATGTGTGGGCTGAAAAGATTTGGGAGCGCCAAACGAAAAGCCACTGGCGTAGACCGATCACTGGCGTTTTCAACGGCATTGATCAACCTTCAACCTTCAACGGCATCGGTTACCGTTAAAGTCAAACTGTTTGACAAAGCCAGCCTTGTCCCTCCCCACTAGCTTGGATTGTCCAACCTCTCTGCGGGAATCAGCAGTATGCCTGTCTGCAGGCGACCCGGTGTCTCAAAATGGACGACCTGTTGCAGTAATATGAAGAGGGTGGGCATCTACTCTTCCTACCAACAAGAACCTTGCAAAAATCCGAATCCCACTGCTGTACTTCCAGGCACCTGATGCACCCCTGCAACATAACCCCCAGGTTCCGTTGCATGCCGAGCGTAGCCGCCGTAGCCTACTAAATAAGTTCAAGTCGTCGACTGTCTGTCTTGATCCACGGTGTGCACCGAGGATCAAGTCTCCGCATTCTCAAACAAATGAGCCAAGGAGCTGGCGACCTCCAGAGAATCCATGAATCCACATGACATCAACCGCGGTCCTTCATCCAGCGCACAGCGTGTTCAGCAAATCGCACACACCTTTTTGGGCGAGCAGCCATGCTGCGACTGGACCCTCGAAAGGTCGCTTCCTTTGGCGACCAGCCTCGCTAGGCGTAGAATATGAATGAATATGAGCTGATTTACCATCCCTCCAACAATCATGGAAGTGGACAATCCCCTGCTTGTAGAGGAACATGGTTTTTCCAGGGGCCCTTTTCCACGTCCATGATTGTTGGAGGGAGGGCAATGAATCAGCTGTTTTGATCTGTTTTGTCCTACCATCTCCTACCCTAGCTGGACTCGATGAAAGAGTGTCCCCTGGATGACTTGAGATATCTAGTGTCTCGTGGTCTTTCTGCTAATGTTTCTTCCTCCCACCATGATCCCAGCTTCTGTGAAAAAACCACATCCATTATGCTGCTCATCGAGCTCGATTGCTCAAGTCTCCGACCTGGGCTGGCTCCGTGGGGGAAGAGTTCCATACGGCCCGAGGGCATAGAATGACTTAAAGCCAAGGGCATAAGGCATAATAAGTAGCTCTCAGGTGGTCCCCGGCGCATCCAATTCGACTTCTGGTTGGATGGATTGGGCGCGAGCCTCCTCGATTCTTGGACTGCATCACTGCAAAGGCCAAACCAGGCTTAGCGGCTAAACAACACCCTACCCCGCCCCCCTTGTTCCGTCATCACCAGCGACTCGAGAGGGTGGTGTCCCCTATGAAAACAACAAGGGCATGTCCAAAACCTCCGGCTTCATGAACTCTGAGCTCCCGATCTGATGCTAATCAGCCCAATCCGCTGAGAGAAACTCCGTCAAGTTGCCCATCTGACAGGCTGGTTGAACGGACGAGGTCAAGCTGAAACGCACGAGCCATCAAAACCGAAATCATGCACTGTGCTGTTTCTGCAGGAACTTCTGCAGGACACACGGCTGCAAAGGAGATCAACAACATCTGAACAAGCCACCCGCCTGGACAGAAGTGCTGCCTGAACAGGGTAGAATCTAGCAAGTGTTGGCTCATGGGTTTGAGTAACTCTCCACCAAACATGGGTCCAAAATGGTCCAAACTTCTACTGTTCTCTGCACCCATTGCTTCATCCAGCCATGGCAGTGGTCCCACCTTCCTCGTCCGCCGCCACTTCGGCAGCAACCTCCAAGGGAGACTGTCTGACGGGTCCCGTGAAATTAACATTATTGAGAAACCTGAACTTGCGTTCAAAACCTGAGCAAGGTCTGAACTCTTGTACCACCCTCCTGTCACCTCTGGGATGAGCTCTTGCGACGGTCGAGATCAGTAAGACAAGCAAGTTGCACTGCAGGTCTACTAGCCACAATGTGTATTGTGTTTCAACTGCTACAAGGACAAGGTCCAGAACAAGTGACGATGATATGATATGATATGATAGGATATGCATTTAATTTCTGGTGCACGCCTTTCAGTACTGGATCATGATCATGGACGTGGCTGGACCAATACGACAGATTAACAAGTGGCAGCTAAGTGGCACACAAGTGGCACTGCACTCAATGACTTCTGTTTGAGTCGTCGGTTCGATTCTCCAGTTTTACATGGGGCGACCGGATTCAGGGGCCCTCCCCTCCCCTCCCCTCCCCTCCCCTCCCCCAGAGACACCCCAGGACGACCCACCTCTGGCTCAGCCGTGAACATCACTGAGTCAGCCGCCCTCAGCGAGCGTGACACATCGAAGGATCTGGAACGGGTGACAATCGAAGGGCCCCTTGCAGCGGAGTGAGAAGTATAACTCCCAAGCTGAGTCACAGCGAAGAAGAAACTGTGAGATCTAGCCACGAGCACCTGGAACTTTTGCGGACCAAGGACAATGGTGAAACCGAGGAATTGGACGGAGTAGACCGGTTCGGAGCGTGCCGCTGCGGCTTCATCGCCACCGAAGCCCGCTCCACACGGGAGACACATCAGATCAGCTCACGGAAGTTGCGAAGACATCAGAATCATGACGTGTTTGAATGATGGTTCCGCTCTCGCAGTCTTAGACTTCCTGGATTTTGTCACACCCAAATGGCCAATGAGCCTTCATCTGATTAGGCTTCCGCCCAAGAAGACCTACCCACTTGAGCTGACGGAGTGTGGGCTCAAGAGGTGTCTATACAACTTTCTGCGCACATCATGTGGCAGCATTGTGGCAGCATTGTGGCAATGAACCCGAATCTTGAATTACGCAACCTGGGACATGCTGAACTTATTCCATGGAGTCATGGAGATACAGTATCTCAAATACTTATATAGTCATTGCCACTCTGCTGACCCAACAAGCCGTAGATGCTGGAAATTTTAGCTGCTCCCTGTTTAGGAAGGGCATCGGAGGGATGCTTTCGGGAAAACGGATGGACAAAACATTTGAAACCGATGGATTGTTGACCATGAGGAATGGCTGGGAAACCATCAAGATGCTCAAACATCCAACTCGGCCCGCCCAAGCCCGGAAAGCACGGCAGTTTCCTCAGGTGATTGGGCAATAATTGGAGTCGGTGCCATAGCCAACTGTTCGGCAGGGCAGCACTTGGCACCCCAAGACCTGCAGCGCCGGCAACTCGGACTGGCGACCGGTGCCAAATCTCGGGAGTTGATCATGATCCACCCAATAATATAAATGACTGATTTTGTGAAGGTACTGCAGCAAAGTGTTGTGCTGCAGTACCTGGAGCACACGACTTTGCATGAATTTTCTTCCAGTCACATGCAGCTGGCCACAAGTCTATGCATGTCCAGGAGTCGGTCAAGGCCCCAGCGCAGTAGATGCATGTGAGGAACCCCCAGTGACCCCAAACGGCCAGGCCAACCATCTGAAATTTTGGACGCCGCTAGCAACGCCATGGGCCTGGCTCTCACATCCCGTGGTGCCATCATCCACAATCAACTCGGCCTCAGCAGCTTTCACTTGAGGCCAGGGGGGGTCCATAACCTTGAATAATTCAATGTGTTGACGTCTTTGAGGCTGCCGTCTACCCTCTCCAACTCCTTGCTAAAGCAAGAGCGACTCCAGCTAGAGGCTAGCTTTCGTGACTTGAACTTGATGGAAACGCAATGAAACGGACCAGATCTGCATCAAGAACAACGCCCTCAAACAAGAGAGTCCTGCGGTCGCCAAAAGCCAACAAAAAAACACAAGGCAGTGGACAGAACACCCCAAAAGCACCTTGAAAGCCCACTGTTATTATTTGTATGTCAGGGGGCCAAAACAGTACAACCCAAATCTCTTCCTCTGAGTCCTCTCTAAGCGTCTGAACTATATATATATATACCTCACATCATGAGATATCATGAACTACCAGAAATGCGGGGCGTCTGCTCTGTCGAATCAGCGAGTCTGAGGCCAGTCACCCTGGAGTGTGCATGGCTTCTCACCTGAAGCGTCGAGCGTTCGGAGCGCAACAAGAATCAACAAGACTTCTGCAAAGCATGGAAAGGCATTACCAAACGCCTTGTGTTCTGTCACTGGCCAGCTGCAGGCGCATGCCAAATGGGTGCAAACACAGCAAGAATCTTACAAGCATACATGCACCGCTGCACCTAGGCGCCATTTAGACGTATAGTATATCAATATATTGATATATTATATAATGCCTAGACCCTCCCGAGGCAATAATTTTTGCCGTAGGCTGTTGAGGCAAAAGAATTTGCCGTAACTCATTTTTTCTGCCGTAGCTCAATCCCTGGAAAGTGAAAACGCCGTCAGAGAAGTGAAAACGCCGTCACAAAAGAAGAATCGCTGTTTGTTTGATCTACCAAAGAGGATATTGCTTTGGTCCGTTCATGCCCTAAAATTGCCTTCTCCTTGTTCACTTGTAAGTAGAGCTCATCGTTTTCAAGCCTCATGGTAGCACTTCTCAAGATGTTGCAGACCTTGTCTAAGGTCTCGATTGACATCACGGCAGGATTTGTTCACATTTTGATCATGCAATGGCTGAAAGGATCGCTTGTGACATGTTGTGACAAGTCTTGCTGCCACCTTGAGTGACCCTAGACAGGGTAAGGGAACGACGCCGTCAGTAGGGGGGAAACGCCGTAAGTACAGGGAAAAACGCCGTAAGTAGGGGGAAAAACGGGGCAAGTACGGGTAGGAGCCCCGTCACTTTAAACGCAAAATCTTCTGCAACGCCGCGCAAGAGGTCGAGTTACCCGCGAAAACCGACGAAAACCCAGCATGTGACACTTCCATCAGCTGCCCTTTCCACTTCACATGACTATGCTAGTTTGCTGATATAATGAGACGCCTTTTACGTTCAGTTGCCTTTCAAGCAAGACCCTACAATGTTTTCATACTCGCCTGCACTAAAAC